TGCTGACTACAAGGAGAGCGGAGGAGGACCCACGCAGAGAAGTGCTTGGCCCCACTGACATCTAGCACTGGCTGAGATGAAACCCAGTTCCTGAGTATGTTTGTTAAAAACTGTGGTTTCTTGTGAACAGGAGAAATGGCTCTCCCCAGGTGGTTTTTGAGGTAAAGCAAAAGCTCCATAAATAATTTTGTAATGAAACTGAATAAAGTTTAGGAACTCTTGGACAACTATGCCCCGCATCAGGCAAGAATCACAGAGCATGAAATGGTCCCTTTACCATAGGCTTTTCCAGCAGGCATGAATCCAGTAGCACTGAGTGTGTTCATCTTTGCCTGAACCACAAGAAATGTGGCTTTGTTGTGGCACCTCTCCTGTAGAAATTGTTCTTTGATCCAAAGCCATTCTCTTCATTGCTTTTTAGCTCCAAAGGTCGTAGGTGTGATCCTCCCTGTTAACCAAAGTGAGCAGTTCACCTTTGTATTTTATTCTAGTCCAGATGCAGGCACTGCCCCAACCTTCAAAGAAATCCTTATTTCATTCCATACTTCACTGAAACCCCGCACATTCCTGCCTAACTTACTGAAAGCCCAGGTGAACTTTAATTATTTGATCACATCAATAACTTGTCTTTCATGTTAATACCCAGTAATATCTGCAAGACTATGTATCTGAACCGTCTTAATCGGTAGGCTCCAAAACTACATAATCAAAGAAAGAAAGAAAAACCCCAGAAACCCAATTAGGCTCCATTTTAACTTTGGCAACATAGCAACATTGGAGACTTTCACTATTTAACAGCTTAATGAGTGTTTCATTTTCCCATGGCAATGCCCGTCAAAAATGTGTGGTTCTGTTGTCATCATTTGTGCATAACCTGGTAGTATCCACCTTCTCCCCACAAGTCAGTCCTGCCCTGCAGTGGTTGTCAGTTAAGCAAATCTCCTGTGCTTTTTTAAGATGCTTGACTCAACCTGGAAAACAGCACGAGATGAAGGTGGGAAAAGAAGCTAAAACAGGGCTGTGTCACTGAGAAGTACGAAGATGGAAGCTGAAAAACATCCTGGAGGAGACGCCAGATGAGACATTAGGGAATCCACCACCTTCCCTTTAATAAGTCAGGAATGCAAAGGAGCACCGTCACAGTGCAGCAGTTTTGGAGCATGAGCCAATGCACCAGGAATGTAAAGCTCCATGCTGGATCCAAATATAGAAATTAGGCAGAAGAACAAGCCAGTCAAAAAAGAAGATAGAAGAAACAAGGTAAATTGGCTAGTTGTGATCTGGGGTATTGGGTTGAAACCTCAAGTGGTGTAAAATTAGTCTTGCTCCATTAATGGTAACAAAAACTACAAATAAACTAGGCAAAAGCTGTAAAGCAGGAGGGAGCTACAGTGGGGAGAGTCACAGAATCACAGAATCACAGAATCACTAAGTTTGGAAAGGACCTTCAAGATCATCAAGTCCAACCATTAATCCAGCGCCACCATGTCCCCTAGACCATGTCCTGAAGCACCACATCCACACATTTCTTGAACACTTCCAGAGATGGCGACTCCACCACCTCCCTGGGCAGCCCGTTCCAATGCTTGACCACCCTCTCGGTGAAGAAATTTTTCCTAATATCCAATCTAAACCTCCCCTGGTGTAACTTGAGGCCATTTCCTCCCGTCCTATCACTGGTTACTTGGGAGAAGAGACCAACACCCTCATCGCCACAACCCCCTTTCAGGTAGTTGTAGAGAGCGATAAGGTCTCCCCTCAGCCTCCTCTTCTCCAGACTGTACACCCCCAGTTCCCTCAGCCGCTCCCCATAAGACTTGTTCTCCAGACCCCTCACCAGCTTCGTTGCCCTTCTCTGGACATGCTCCAGCACCTCAGCATCCTTCTTGTAGTGAGGGGCCCAAAACTGAACACAGTATTCAAGGTGCAGCCTCACCAGTGCCGAGTACAGGGGCACGATCACTGCCCTGCTCCTGCTGGCCACACTGTGTCTGATACAGGCCAGGACGCTGTTGGCCTTCTTGGCCAGCTGGGCACACCACCGGCTCATATTCAGGGAAAGTCCTCCCTTGAGGAAATAGATCTGCCTTGGAGAAGAACCTGCATGGGTCTGGGATGATGATTTTCTTCAGTTTCTCCAAGACATGGCCATGTCTTCCAACCTTGACAAGGCATGGTCATTTCCTTTGGTCTTTCCAAGGCATGGCCATTCACTCCAGTCTCAGCAAAGCATGGACTTTTCCTCCAGTCTCACCAAGGAATGGCCATTTCCTCTAGCCTTATGAAGGCATGGCCATGTCCTCTAGCCTCGTCAAGGCATAGCCATTTCCTCCAACCTTGCCAAGACATGGCTATTTCCTCCAGTCTCAGCAAAGCATGGACATTTCACAGAATCACAGAAACACTTGGTTGGAAAGG